GGAGACTTCTCCTTTTTAATGCCTTTATTAAAAGTGATCAGCTCAGGATTGGGCGGCTCGACGGGTCTGCAGCATCCGTCGTCTCTCCCAAGGCGACTCAGAGGAGGAGGATATGCGCAGCTCTGTCCACAAGGGGCAAAGCTGGGGGATCCGGTCCTCGTGGGAGCCTTTAGGGCCTGCTGATCCCCGTCAGATGGTGCCCCTCCCACTCAGTCGGCCTGGTCTCACCGCCGGGGTCGTCTCTCATGGTCAGGGCGAGAGGCTCCGAAGGTGTTCCGCGTCTCTGCAGGCTCAGCATTCGGCTCCTCACGTCCAGACATCACTCCAGTCTCTCAACTCTTAGGTGGCTCGTTGTTTTTGGGGTTTCTCTGTGAGTTTGGAGTCGGGGGTCCCACAAAGCATTCTGGTCTTGAGAGTCACGTTGCATAACCCCGCCCCCCCCACCTTCTCAGGTATCTTCCCTATTCTGAGAAAGGTAAAACTTAGCCTCGGGCAAGGCTCTGCCAATACAAAAGGAGCGATTAGCCTCAACGACCCGTGATTACAATAACAAAACACGAAGAACTTTGGCAGCTACAGTGCTCTGGCTGCCTTTTTGTAATTTTCTCACAAAAAAAATATTAACTGAATTTTTGTTCATAACAGTTTTTTTCCTGAAGAATGGGTTTGTAAGGCTAAAACAATTAAATGCTGCCCAAAAAGTAAAAAGCAATAGATGTGATACATCTCGTGTTAAAATTGGTCTAGCTTTTCTTATTTAACTAACTGTAACTCACAGAAACAAGAATTTGCCTCTGCAGCTATTAGTGCAGCTGGATAGAAGAAGAGGCTGCTGTGGAGAAAGCTTTTAGCTTAACCTAGAAAGTTTGGAAAAAAAGCAAATAGTAAAAGTTAATGCAGTATTTTTTTATCTTTCTTTTTTTACTATGCTATTAAGAAGTCCTTTCCAGGTACTACTGAAGCAACAATCAGAATCATTGTTGCAGAGGGTGAATTCATGCCAGCAGAATCAACAGACTTGTGAAGAAACCTGAGGAATGGACTATCACATTTAAACTGGGTGATACCGAAGTGACTTTCCAATGGGGACTGAGTGGTAATAGTTTGGGAAAACCCAAATGATCCAAGAAATGTACAAAGAATAACACTGAATTAAGAAATAAGATAATGCTTATATCACTGGTTTCGAGCACTGCCTGAATGAAACATCTCCTTGGGAGAGGAAAACTTCAGATAGAAAGATCAAGACTGCTTTTGTATTCTGACCTTAGCCTGAGAATTGAACAGGGGAGAAGGGGAATTGCCATTTCCATTAGTAAACTTTATTTGATTCATTCCAATACTGGACACACTATCTGGGTTATAAGTAAATGCTTAAATTGTGAGAGTAATTAGTATTGTAATTCACAAAATTTATGCTCTTGTTGCAAAAAGAGTGTTAAAGTAATAACTTGGTTTTGTGGATGGGAATTATTAGTGCCTGTTGAATGAGAGATACCTGAGGAACAGTAAGAGACCACAGTTAAAGAGTATCAAAAACAATTTGCCTAGAAATTAGTTAAGAGAAGGTGACAAGAAAATAGAGGGCAAGACCAGATTGGCCTCTGTATTTTGCCACCGAGAAGATCAAATAAACCTGCTGTGGGTTGCAACCTCACAGGCATGGGAGGTGGGAGTATAAGCCATACTGGACCTCTGTTATTCCTGTTTCCAGCACTCATTTGTTGTCTTTTCCCTTTAGGGATATCAGCAAGATTGTGTCAAAAATGCTACAGAAAGCATCACATGGAAAGAAACCAAAGTTCCTCTTTTATTACACACACCCATGTCAACAGCCACTGTTATAACCCATCCAAATTAAAAACCTGTAGGCAAAATAGAGTAAATTATTAGATTACAAGAAACTTAAGAAAAAGTGGCAATAGATTTAGAACTGAATGTCCAAAAGGAGAGAGATGGATTTGTTTTAAATTTAATCTTGAAGATATGGTTCAAGATTATGTAAAAAAACAAATAATAAACGAAAAGGTAAAACCAGCACAGCCATCTAACTCTGTATTGACTCCAAATTATCTGTTGAATTGTATTACAAGACTCCAAGCAGTTATAGAAATGATAGCAAATACGGCTACCACCTAGGCATTAGAGTTAATATTAAGCTAGCTAAGCCAAACGAAAACTGTAGGGTATTAGAATAGGTTGGCTTTAGACTATTTATTAGTCAAAGAAGGGGGTGTTTGTTGAAAGTTCAATATATCAGATCGTTGAAAATTGATGACCACAGAAAAGTCATTCTAGCAAAAGCAAAAGAAATCAAAAAGAAAAATACATATGCATATAATAACCCAGGAACCAATCCAAAAATTAGAAAACAATGTTAAAATCCAGCTGGTGGGGTAATGTATTAGAAGAAATTAAGATCTTTCATTTTGTGTTACGACTGTTTTTATATTTCTTACTTGTGTAATCCCCTGTTTTATTTCACCAGCATAGTCCAGAAGATACAAGTAGAAAAAAATATTCCTCAAGCCAAATTATTTACAAAGAATAAGAGTGGGGATTGTGAAAAATGCATGTATTTTATGATTGGTTTTTCACAAATATTAAAATGAATATTGTAAGTGTTGTGTTAGAAAATAATGCTGTATTAATTTTCTTAAGTAATGTGTTAAATATAGTTTTAGGTTATAAAAATAGAAACTATGCTATGTAAGATGCTTTGTTTAACAGAAAGGGCTTGCAGTGAGATAGCAGCCACAGGACACCTAGATCTTTCAGAGAAAGGGAATTTTTTGCCTTCTTATCAGAAGAAATGAACTTCTTCCCGCCTTGGAGGCGCTGTTAGGATTAGAAGGAAGAAGTTGACACTGACCAGACAGAATCCTGTATTTGAATGGGATTTATGCATCATGTATGAAGTGTATGAATATGCAACAGGCTATTGTTCTTAAGGGCTAATCCTTTGTTAACGGGGGGTTTTTTTCGGGCTCCTGCTGGCCACAAAAGGTACCCGGACATCAGTAACTCTTTCTTTTTATTGTCTCATATTGTCTAAATTCAATTTGTCCAAATTGTTACTATTCTAATTGCGTTACTATTTTTATAACCATTTTATTACTATTAAACTTTAAAAATTTTAAAAACAAGTGATTGGCATTTTTCACAGAGGCAAATCCCATCTTCTCCTTGTCCGCCCTCCTTCCTCTCCTCATTCTGTCCATCCATGTTCCTTTCCCATCTCCTTCCTCCCTTGTTCCCTCTTGTTCCTTCCTCTCCTCCTGCCTTTTCCTTTTCCCTTCTCCCTGTTTCTTCTTCTCCTGTCCTTTCTCCACCAGGCACTGTGCTGCAGACAGAGACCAGGGAGAAAAAAATCCCTGCCACAGAATCTCATGGAAGAGGCCATTTGGAACGGCTCCACGGCTCAGGAATGCAATGGGGAGGAAAAGGCCCAGAGATCCCACACGAGGAGGGGCTGCTGTGGAGAGTCAGGGACAAGCGTGCGGAAGAATTCGGGCTGTACGGTCAGTCAGGACACCCCCCACCCGGCAGTCAGACCTTTGCTCCGTGCCTGGGCGCACCCAGCCGGACGTGAGCAGAAGGAAATGACACTGACTGCCCAAGCCATAAAAACCCGTGTAACCCAGCAATAAATGCCATTTGCTGTCCACCACATTGGTGTCAGGAGCATATGGACCGAGTGACCCTGGGCTTTGCGCCACCGTGCCAGAATAAGAACCAGGTCGCCACGCCTTGAGAAGGCAACAGGCTGCAAAACTAGCCCGGGGAGCTGTGAGGAGGTAAAAGCCTCCCTGTGCTAGGAAGGGTGTGGGGAATGTGAGAAGAGCTTCAGGCAGAGCTCAGCCTATTCCTGGTGCCTCCAAAAACGGCGGTGCCAGATGCAGAGATCCATGGGGATGCAGAGATCCCCCTGCAGATCCATGGGGCTGCGGAGATCCCCCTGCAGATCCGTGGGGCTGCGGAGATCCCCTTGCAGATCCACGGGGATGCAGAGATCCCCCTGCAGATCCACGGGGATGCAGAGATCCCCCTGCAGATCCATGGGGCTGCGGAGATCCCCTTGCAGATCCACGGGGATGAAGAGATCCCCCTGCAGATCCACGGGGATGCAGAGATCCCCCCGCAGCAGCCACGCTGAGCACGGCGATGCCTGAGAGGAGGCTGTGACCCCGCGGCCAGAGGGCCCCGCTGGAGCAGCCTGTCCTGGCAGGACTGACCCCGGGGCACAGTGACCCACGCTGCAGCACTTGGAGGGGGCTGTGCCCCGTGGGATGGACTCAGCTTGGAGAAGTTCCTGGAGAAGTCTCCGGTGGGACAGAGCCCAGGGTGCAGCAGGGGAACGACTCCTGTCCCTGAGCAGAGGGAGAAGCCCCGGGGCATGAACTGAGCCCGGCCCCATTCCCTGTCTCCGGCACCGCCGGGGTAGGAGGCACAGCTGGAAGGAGGGAGGCGTAGGGGAAAGCTGCATTTAAGGGTCTTCACTTACTTCTCATTATCCTGCTCTGAGATTTTGGAGGTCTCTGTCAAAAATCTCTCCCCTCCCCCACTCATCCACAGGGCTTTGGGGCGGTTTTCCCTTTTTGGGGGAAATCAAAGCGATGCCCTGATGCTCCTAATTAGGGGTAGGAGAAGTCAGGCTCCAGGGCTTCCCGCTGAGCCAGAGACACCGAAGCGACAGTGCCGGGAAAGCCGTGGCGGGAGGTGCGGAGAAGTTTGTTTGTGTTTTCAGCTCAATCCCCCTCGGGCCCGGGCCCGTTCCAGGGCTGCTCCTCAGCTCCAGCTCTGCCCTCACGCAGCCCGGGGGGCCCTGAGAGCGCGGGGCGGGGCTGTGCCGTGCGCAGAGCCCGCCCCTGGCTGGGATTGGGCGATGGTGCCGTCAGTCGTGTTTGTGGCGCGCTGATTGGTGGGAGCGGGGCGGAGCAGGGCCCCGGTGGCGGGCTGAGGGCGGCCGTGGCTGGGCAGCGGCGCCATTGTCGGAGCGTGTGTGCGGTCCCGTGCGCGGCGGCAGCGGCCGGAGCGCGGTGAGGCGGCGGCGGAGCTCGGAGGCGGCCGCAGCGCAGGTGGGAGCCGCGCTGGGTTGTGCGGGGGCTCGGGGCTGGCTGCGGGCCTCGGGGGCGGCAGGGGGCTCGGGCGGGTTCGTTGTGCCGTGTCCGGCCCGTGTTGCCGCTGGCGTGAGGGCGCTGCGGGAGCGGCTGCCCGCGGTCTCCTTGCGGCCGCTGCCTCGGCAGGAGCCGCTGGCGGAGCAGCGCTGGCTCGGCCCGGTTGCTGTGGCTGGGACAGAGGGGGCTGCCCCGTGCCCGGGGCTGTGCGGGGAAATTCCCGTGGCCGGAGGTTTCTGTGCGCAGAGGAGACAGAGGAGTCATGTAAAAGTGACTTTATTGCTGAGCAGAGGGAGAGGCCGTGGGGCATTTGCCGTGCGCTCTCTGCCATTGTTATAGTTCGCAGCCTCCTTTTTATCCTCATTTTCCCGGCTGTGTCTCCCTCTCCCTTTGCCCACTGGCTGAGGTACTTGGAAGGTTCAGACTTCCCAACTGCTTGTCGTCCTTAATGTGCATCCCTACTTTCGTACAACAGTTGATATTCATGCCTCTGTTAAATTATTGTTCTTCTCGAAGTTCAGGAATTTAGCGGGACTTTCTGTGAGCAGCAATCCATGTTAATTAGTAACATTTATTGAAGCTGATGGTTTCGCCGTTTCGCCCGTTATTTCCTTATCTACGAGTCCCTGGCCCCTCGCTCAGCTGCTGAATGAGCTGCACTCTCAAGGTGTGGAGCATGGTAAAAAGATGAGAGTTGCTGTAGCACATCAGAGGAGAAACAGCATTCGTTTAACCCATGGTCTGCCAGGGAGCCCCAAAATCGTAGCTCATTCCCATCCTTTCCACATTTGGACCAGTACATGAGCTGCTTTCTTGTTTCCGGTTTTTTTTTTTCCCCACCACTTTTCCTTTGTCATCTATTTGCCAACAGCAGTTTGAGTAATTTAATTTTCCACAAACTCCTCCTTTTTCTGCTAACAGATGATCTGATCCCATCCCATGGTGAAGTGTTGTGTTCCTCATTTCAGTGGATTGGTCGGCAGGAAGGTCAGGAGCTGGAGCTGTCTGGTTGGTTATTATTCTGAGCAGAGCTTGTAATCTAATGATGCCATTGAAATGAGAAATGGGTTCTGTGGCTCCTGATATGAATTGGTTCGGGTTCCCAGGGGCTGGTCCATGGTGTTGTAGGATTTGTTCTGCTGCCCATTCATCTTTTCCCCATTTTTGGCTGCTCTCTCCAGCCATGGCTGCATCAATTGACTGCTTTTGTCTAATTAAATCATCAAAACCTTGGATTCCCAACTGATTTGCCTGAATATTTGGTAGCAAAAAATCCTGGGTGCTCTAATATACCCTATAAACAGAGACAGTGACAGCACATGTTGGTGTGGGCAGAGGGATGATTCCCCCCATTTATTTATAGTGAAGTTTTCCCAACATTCTCCATGTGCTGTTTCCCTTTGCAGTTTCACCCCTTTGTGTTGCAGGGTCAGATATCCTCCCCCTGGGCTCTGCCTTGAGCTGTGCAAATTCCATCAGTGCCAGCAGGCAGAGCTTGGGGTGAGGGGCAGAGGGAATCAGCCCAATTCCTGCCCCAGGCAAGAGACCCAGGTGCATTGTCCACACTTTGCCCAGCAGTGTTCATTTGCATTTCTAAAGCTGCTCTGGAGGCTGCCTGGAATGGAGCTTCTCTTCCAGGGCAGCCATCTGGTGAGTCACATGTGGCCCCCCCAGAATCTGCTTTTTTAAAAAAAACATATTAACTATTTATAAGTGTAAAGTGTTACTTTTAAAGCTGTTCAGTTTTGCAAAATGCAGCATAAAGGCAAACATGGAAACACCCAGACCAAAACTTGATGCTTACACTTCTGTCCCAAACCTACCTGACCATATAAAGTGGGAATGTTATGAAAATTTTTCTCATATTGTAATTTTGTCACTGAAACTGCAGGGAAAACAAAAACTCTGCAAGAATCTCTTTAGTTTTAGAGAGTCAAGGCATTCCTTGGTTCTGGCCAGGATGTGCAACAGAAATAATTTCTTTCACAAATAGCCCGGCTGTGCAGAGAAAATCATTCCATGCCATGTGAGTTTTACTCGATTTTTCCTAAACTTTATGTAGAACCGATTTAAATCCACTGCTTTAATGTTCATTTATTCCAAGTTGTGTAAGTTTTTAGCATTTGGTTTCCTGTTGGACCTGGATTCCTTCCCCTCTGATGTGTCAATTTGGTCTCCACCCTCCTGGATTTCCTTCTCAGCCTTTTCCAGCCCAGGTGTCTCCAGCTCTGCCGGGGGCAGTGCCTGGGGTAGCTGTTGGTTGCTGTTTGCTGCTGGGAAATGTTGATGTTTTGTTGCTGGTCGTTATCTCTGTGCTTGTCTTTTGGGCTATTCCCAGTCTGTTGGGATGTTGAACTCATCTCCATTGAGTGGTGTAACACCCCTTAAATAAAACCTTTAAAATTCCTTTCCCCAAGGCAAAGACAAACCAAGCCTGAGCAGAGAAATAAGATTTAAAAGAACCAAACTCGGTACATTTTGCAGCAGTGCAGTGGCAGGCAGCCCAGAGTGTGGGTGTCAGTGAGCCCCAGAGTGGAATTGTGCCGTGGTGTTCCCCAGCAGCTGTGGCAGTGCAGGCCCAGCCAGCGCTGAAGCTGCAGCAGTGGCAGCAAGGCTTGGCCCCAGGGGCTGGAGATGGCAGAGGAGGGTGGCCAGGATTGCAGAGGATTCCAGGCGAGGATCTGTGGGCAGGCGCAGGGGCTTGGCCCGCTGTGGAGCCCTGGCTGCTGCTGCGTTGCCTTCAGGGCAGGCTCAGGGGCGGCCTCCCATCCTCCTGCTGCGGGCGGGAAGTGCAAATCTGCGGGGCTTCAGAGCCCTTGAGGCCAGGCTGAGGTGTCCCCCCGTGTTGAGCTGTGCTGGAGGCTGTTTCTGGCCTCAGGGACACTTGGCATGGGCCCCTTGGCCACCAGTGGTGCTGCTTTGCACTCCTTGGGCAGGAGCCGATGTCCTGGCTGGGTGTTGGCAGCAGCAAAGTGCCGGGGCAGGCTGTGTGCCAGCCCAGCTTGCTGTGGGAGAATGTGCCTTGATATCTGCTCCAGTGGTTGCTGAAGCAGTGAGAATTGCTTTTGCCCCCCTGTTAGGTGCCATGGTGTCAGCAGAAGATATTGAAGCCTTCCTGCTCAGGGCATTTCAGTGCCAGGCTCTCACAGGCACCCACAGCTGGGCGGGTTGAGCTGAGCATGGGGCGGTGACCTGCACTGTGTCTGATTCCCCTTCCTTAATAACAGCCTGTCTTGTAGCTCTTTTCCCTTCTGCTGCCCCTGCAGAGCCATCCACAAACACATTTTCTCCCTCAGGCCAGGGAATGTCCCATCATCAATCTGTCCCAGCCTGGGTCTGGAGCTCTGTCCCTTGAGTGCAGTCCTGGGTTCCTTGCCAGCCCCTCTCCAGGCTGTTCAAACAGGAGGCTGGGTTGAACCCTTGCCCTGTCCTCAGTTCTAAATCCTCTTGTGCCATTGAACAAGTTTCATACTGTAATAACCGAGCCCTGCTCATCCATGTAGAGGCTCTTTTGGTTGTCAGACCTTTAACTTGATGCCAGACTTGAACTATAGGATATCCTATGTAGGGTTAAACATTTTAGCACAAGAATTCCTTAGGCAAGACCCTGTTTAACATCCACCTGTAATTCAAATTCTCTTTCCCTGTCTGGAAGGCCCAGGCCAGCCGCCTCAGTTAATCTTCATTTTAACACTTGCAAATTCTGTGTTTCCTCCTGCTCTCCATCCATCCAGTTTGTTGACTGGCAGGATAGGAGTGTTGTAGGGAGACACCCCTGGCTCCAAAAGCCCTGCCTTTAACAGGGACACAGTACCAGGCTGTGAGTCCTTCCTTCCCTCTCTTGGAACAGGGTATTGCTTGTCCTGGTTGCTTTAAAGTAATTTGTAGAGGCTCCATATCTAATTTTCCCTCTTTCCCTGGGGCTGCCCACACTTCAGGTTCACTTCAGCATGGGCCTTGTCAGATTTTGGCAAAAGGTAGAACAGAACTGGCCTCTGTATCCCTTTTGCAGTATTAAAATCCAGCTCTCCAATTCCTTCCTAGTTAATTACATTCACAGGAGGAAGAAAAAGCAAATCATTTATTTTAGACCTATCCCCCACAGCTTCTAATAGTGGTTGAAGAAATCATACCTGCTTATCTTTCCCACTCATTCCCTTAAAAATTAAAACATTCCTTTACTATTTTCTCCCTAGGTCTAGGATTCAGAGTGGATTGAGAGGCCCCTGTGTCCATCAGGAAATGCCTGCTCTCAATGCAGACCCACCCTGAATGTTCTCAAGGGCTGCAGTGTGGAGGGTCCCTGGTGTGATGGGAGCTGTGACAGCCCTGCCAATCCATGTCCATCAAGGGGTGGACTTGCTGGTCCTGAGGGTGCTGTTGTCTGTGCTTGCAGTGTCCTTGTGCCCTGCAGCTGGAGCCCTGGTTCCTTGCCAGGGGCTGTTTGGGTGGGCTCTCCCCTGGTGAGGAGGGCAATGCCTCTGCCAGGTGCTTGTGGCCGAGCCGTGCCCTGGGTGCTGGGGCCCCCTTGGGCCCTGGGCTTGATCCCTCAGGGGCTGTAGGAGCTGTGCCCTGGCCTTTGCCTTCAGCTTGGCCTTTTGCTGCTCCCTTCTTGCCCTCACCTGCTGTGCCTTTGTGCCCAAGTGCTGCAGGGCCTTCTTGTGCCCCTCCTGCAGCCCCCCTCAGTGCCTGTGGGTGCTTGTGTTGCTTTACAAGAGAGGTGTCTGCTCAGGAAGGCAGAAATAGCCTCTCTTGGAATGGAGAATGTAAACCCCCTCCCTCTTAATTTTTAGACTAGTGAAATGAAGGGGCTCTCAGGCAAAGATATGGGAATAGGAATACCAGTTCTTTACTAGTGTGTATAATGAAGCAAACAAACACCAACAGCTGCGGCACTGACAGCAAACAGAGCCCGGACCCAGTCCCGGCCTTTGGGCTGCGGCGCTTTGCCCTTGGGTGCA